TTTCAGAACTACCCTCAAGGAATGAGGAGGATATGACACACATCCTGGAGCTCATGTAACACAAGCATGCACACATAGTGTTTGCCACCCTATGGAGATGCACTTGAGCCACCTTGTGCTCATGCAGTAGGATACAACCTTGATTAAGAAAACAAAGGGGCTGCAGCCCCATGAGCAGGGATGTGCAGTTTGAGGCACCTCAAAGTCTTTTTTAGGTGCTGCAAAATCACACAGCACATGGTAATGTGTTTGCTGCACTGCATATTTGGAAATTCTGGTATCTAAATTAAAAAGCCAAAAAAAAGGTGGAGTGGTACACACAGCTGCAGCGTGCGTCACCAGAAACCAGAGCCTGGCCAGTCAGAGTCATGCTCCAGCTACTGGTCAGGCTCTGTGCACCTGGACTGCTGCCAGTGCAGCCCTGGGAGGTCCCAAGGAACACAGGTAAGGCTGCTAGGGCCAGTTCAGGTGCTGGCCCAGCCTCCCCTATCCCACTCAGAGTAACTCGCCACGTGCTGCAGGGGCAAACCTGGGGATAAGTAGCAGTGGTACAACCTGGGGAGACGCATGTTTGCGCTAACGGGGGCACATCCAGGAAGTCTGTGCCAGAGCCAGGCATACAATGCAGCCCTCTTATAGGTCCCAGTCTAGTGAACTTATGTAGAAGAAGTCCTATTATTATTTTCTGTTTTGTTCATAGTCCATCCTCTGCACTGAGGCAGCGGTCTGGTAGAATGAATAGCATATAATCATACAGGAAAAGCACACACCAACTGCTGAAACTTCCTTAGCCTGACGAAGGGTTTTTGAACTCGAAAGCTTGCTTAATAACTATTCTCCAACTATTTGGGTTGGTCTAATAAAAGATATCAGATTCACCCAAGGAACCTTGTCTGCCTATGTCCTTAGACCAACACGGCTACAACCTACACCCCTGTAGCATATAATCATGCAGTTACAATCTGGTGCATGAGGTGGCAAATCAAGGCTTCAGAGGCAGCCTGAATTTTGCAATTCCCTAACCTTTAACCTATTGTTAAGGATAACTGAGGTCCTTCGTAATGGGCTAAGGAACAGCAGGGAATGCAACTTCCCCTCATCACCAATGGATACTGTTTTACTTGTCTAAGTGCATACAAATAACATGACTCAAGCCACTGGGATGGGTAAGAGTGCAGCCATGTTGGCCACTACTGAATAGATTTTGAACATAAAGTAAAACTATGAATTTGTTGCCATCAGCAGATTCAAGAAACTAAAATTAATCTTAGATTTTCATGTGCACACTCAACTAATATATTCAGATATCTCACAGATGACCAACATGCCAAGTGCCTTGGGAGGGCTCAGTTATGTGAGGTGGCCTGACATGTTCTACCAATAAGAAAAATTAGATGCATAAAACCCACTCAAACTTGAATTAAGCAAACACGCTGGATTCTCCTTATTGTAACTTTGTAAGGCATGTGTAAGACATAACATGTTACATATATTAAACAAAGGAATTGTATTGAAGATTCATTTTGTTGTGTGGCCCCCAGTGTGGTGCCGCCACCCCCGCCCCCAATTAAGTGGCCCTCTACGATCAAAACTGGGAAATCCTTTGGTCCAGATGTTGCAGACTGCACAGCCAAGCACATAGACATAACACACACATTCCTAAAGCCAACAGGGCTGAGTGCTTGAGTTTTGTCTCTGCCATATTAAACATAACTTTGCTCTGTCATCAGTCATCTTGGGCAAACTCTCAGTTACCCCAAATGTACATGAGAACAATACCTACTTCCCAAAGAGGGCAGGAGCCATCACAGAGCAAGGCCTAAGGGGTGTGGTGTGCTCAGGATTATTAACACCAGTTAGTACAAGATCTCCTGGCTTCCAACCAAGCACATCTTGCCATAGCTAACGTGCATGCGTGGTGTTGCTGTTGCTGCACCCAAATTTTGCTTGGAGATCTGGCTCTAATCCTACCATCCAGAAAACTGACTGCGGCTGAAAGCATGCTCAGGTGTGCTGACACATTTGGACCCATGCAAAGCCAATGCATGCTTGGGTCTGCCAGTGCCTTTGGAGCAGCACAGGGTAAATGTTCATGCTCAACTTCTGAACCATGAGGACAAGTGAATAATTGGAGCGCCAGCACATTTGAAACTGTACAGGGACTGGCTTGCACTTGGGGCACTGGCAATTTTGGGCTGGTTTGTACCAGCATCATCCCTAGCTTTTAGTGGTGCTTTCTGAGTGCAGAGACAAAATATGCACTGCTGAAAATGCTAGGAATGTAAACTGAGCTAGTCAGAATTATTTTGGGTCCCTGACTTTTTTCCTGAAGTGTTAGGCCTTGGTAAAAGTATAAGATTATTGGAACAAATCTGATTCATACCTTTTTCATGAAGATTACTTAGCGACTGAGCTACTGGCTAGGACTAGGCAAAGAACCATTTTTTAATTTTAGGAAATGAATCAAAAAATAGGAAAAAATATTGGGTTTAACTTTTTTATCTTACCAAGTAAGAATGCTATAAAATTTCATTTTGTGCTGAGTAAACCATCCATTTGATTGGAAATGAAACATTTCATTTTTGGGCCCCAGGAAAGGACAAATTAGGGCACTCCATGCACAGATCAAAGCAGTGACCTTGATCAAGGTTTCTCGCCTTTTAGGAGAGTGCCCTAATTACAAGGCTATAAGGTATTCTGAGGGGAATCTGTCTTGCTAATGATGTTCAGTTTTGTATAAAATATTTATTATTCATTAGGTGTAGGGTTCTGGACAAGAGAATGACTCAATAGCTGAGTGGTTAAGGCACTCCCCCACAAAGTAAAACACCTGGCCTCAAAATGCTGCTCCAACAAGTGTTTTTTCATGCAAAGTAGATCATCATCAGGAAAGACCTACCCTGGAATACACTAGAGCAGTGGCTGGCAACCTTTTAAGACTGTGGGCCACACTGACCCAGTTCGAGTCAAAAGTCGGCAGGAAGGGGTAGGGACAGGGAACAAACAATAGCACCCAGGGGCCACATGGTTTTCCCAGCAGCGGCACAGGAAAAGTGCTTGCTGCCACCACTTTTCCCCATGGCAGCCTAGGAAATATTCCCTTACTTGTTGCTTTTCCTCAGGCCTGCAGGGGAAAGCAGCTTCTGACAAAATCCCTCACTGCCAAATGTTGCTGAAGCCCCATCTCTGTGGGCTGAATCAACTGGCTCTGTAAGCCATAGGATCTGGGTCACAAACCCTCCACTATAGTACAGCTAGGTCACTCTTATGGGAAATGTAGGTTCAGATGCCTTCTTGAGTCAGTGCCCTATCCTTGGAGTTTTGGGTGACAGAGGGTTAATATTACTATCTCCTCTACTAGCAATTTTGTGAATCTTGCCTCGGGACTTTTTTTTTCCTAGCCAGAAGTATTTGGAAAATTTACGTCAAAACTTCAATTACTTTCGGGATGACTGATCCTTTTTTTTTTTTTTGGTCAATTTATTATTCACCTCAAAATTTGCCCAGCCCTGCTTCTGGTATCATGGGCTGCTTGTACATGCCACGGAGGTTTAATTTGGTTTAGTTGTCCCTAAATTGAAATGGTGGGTTTTTAAAAACACTGCTTCAATTTAGGAAGAATTAAGCTGAACTAAACCCCCGTGGCATGTACACAAGGGTCTGGCCCTGATCCTTACCTGCCTCTTTGGTGGCGGGGGACGAGTTGCTGTGGGCCGAGCAGTCCCTTAGCTGCATGGGGGCCCCCCAGGCGGCACCTGCCCACAGGCACCCAGCCTGGGTGGTCCCAGGAGGCGCTGCAGCTGCGGAGGGAAGCACTGGGCCTCTGCACAGCTTGGGCAGGCAGACAGGCTCCAGGGAGAGAAAAAAAGAAGAAAAAGATCAGGTTCACCACTTTTTCTTTTTTTCTTCAGTGGAGCTTGTGTGCACAGGCTGCCGCCAGGTCCCATGGTCCCTAAGCTGCACAGCAGAGCCCACCAAGCCTCAAGCACGTTGTCTTCCAGTGCCCTGTGCACTTTTTCACTTTGTTAGGTAGAAAATTAAAATGCTTTGGAGGTGTTTTATCTTGCTACGTACCAAAGTAATTTAAAGCGGAATACGCTGCTGAGCATGCAAACAGCAATGTCATTAAAGTGATGCAAAAGGACATTTAAGCTGCTTTAAAGGCCAGTTTTGTGGCGTGTACAAAAGCCCGTGGGGCTTTTCACAAGTTGCCAGAACCCAGAGAGCACTTGCAGAAAATGGAAAAGACTTCTAAAGACCTTCTCTGACATTTTTTTAAGGCTGACTGATTCCAGGGCATCCCAGTAAAATGAAGAATGTGAACAGCAAAGAAAGAGAGAAAGTAACTAATGAAGATTGTAATGACAGTTGACAAATAGCAGATCAGGAAATACCTGGGAACATGGAATTATAGAAATGAACATGAGCAGAAGATACACATCCCTGTGCTGAAGAAATGTAGAGACAACCAGAAATCTTTTCGAGAAAACTGGGCAGTGGAGAATTAAAGGAAAAGAGAAATACATATATATACACCGATCTTCTCCCAGACCTTCAAAATGATAAACCAGTAAACCACACTACAATTCCTAGAAAAGAATGTAAATTCTGTAAACATGCACAGGCAAGGAAAAGGAAAGTCAATAATAAGCAGAATATTTATGAAGAGCAAGCTGCATCTGGCCAATAGTAACTTCTGTCTGGGGCAGAGCTACATTGTAAGTGCAAAAAGAGAATGCAATAAATGTAAAATATCTTCACTTTACTAAATATTAGATAGGACATCTCAGTTTGTCTTACAGGAGTAATCCCATGTCTTGCATGCAGAACTCAAGATGCAGACTGATATCAAGAAGGTATCTCTCTTCATATACATACAGAAGTTGTACCTGCCTACAATGTCTCCCTTCCATGCTGCCCACCCCAGCCCTCTCCCACACACAGAATGAATATTACCACCACATGGTAAAGACCTGTTGCTCAGAGTATCAGGTACTTACATTCAGAGCATTCTTAGCAGCTTCTGCTTCAGAGCGACTGTCAAAGCTGACAAATCCCACAGGCTATGAGAAAAAGAAAAAAGATATGTCAGGAGATGGGGAAACCGTTACATCATTTGGGAGAGGGAGTATCGCTTTTAGTTTGCAGATACAGTGTGATACACCTGTACCTGCAGATACCGCTGTGGCATCTCTCCTGGCTGTACCTCTGCCTTAGAGACACAGCGGCCTAACTGCAGATGTCCCTTGTGGACTTTTCTTTGGGTACTTCAGCTCTTTCCACTAACTCTCTCTTGAAAATTAAAGCGTGGAGCCTCTGAAGCACAATGGCTGTAGAGTTATAATATTCTGCTTGACTTGAACAGGGCTGTCCGATTTGTAAGTGCCTGGAAGCTGCATGCCGCATGGGTCTCACTAATGGGGGCTGCACTAACAGAGGTCATGGGCCCCTCAGGCTGCATGCCATATATGCACAGACAGATACTGTTTCATCCCACTGCACTAAACACAAGTGAGTGCTCCCCCAACTTGCACCACTAAGCACAAGTGGGCAGGCACCTCCACCCACTGCCCCTGTGCAGTGCAGCACCCCACTTCACTTGCAGCTCTATGTAGATTCTCTTACTGAACCATACCACACAGATGATCTGGCCTACTGGCTCAACCAACACCATGTGCTAGATCAAGGAGCAGAGCAGAAGGGCAAGTGGGGGGCAGTGAGTGCAAGATCCCAGATGTGGCTGCAGCTGAATCAAAGGACAGCAGTAGCCAGGTGGGAGTCCAGGGGCTGCAAGTCAACTCTTCACAGGCCACATACAGCCCACAGGCCACCAGTTGGATAGCCCTGGCCTACAGGCCTAACCAGTGTGTTATAAACAGTACTTTGCAGGCAGTGCGCAGGCCAGTTCCTAGGCCAGTTTGTGGGTAGTAGCATAGCCTATTACCATACAATGGTGGGGATGCGTCATACCCTGCGGCTTCCTGCCTTGGCCCCAACTGGTGTTCCCTTCCCTTGCACCACTCAGGCCTCCACTCAGACGGAACCCCTGGCACCAGGGCTGTGGGGGCTGCCTGGCACAGCTGCCAGCAACTGGGAAGGGGAGCAAGGTCACCCCCACCTATGGTGTACGGCCCTTAGTGAGGTTCCTGGAGTCCCAGGTGACTGAGCTCCAGGCCCAGGTAGGCAGAATTTGTGCCATCAGGGCCCAAGAGTAGGAGATTGATGACTACTACAGTCAGGCTCTTTTCCTGAAGACTGAAGAAGAGAAGAAGATAGAGGAGAAGGTGGCCAACAAGAAGGCTGGCTGAAAAGACCTACCCGGAGCTACCTGGAAGATGGTAGTCTTAGGCTCTAGGATATGCAGGGCTAGGGCTGCCCCTCCTCTGGCATTGCACAACAGGTATGCTCCCCTTACCATGCAAGAGGAGGCTCTGATGGAGACACTGGAAGAGGAGGTGGGCAAGTCAGTGAACTGCCACCCCTAAGAGGAGAAGCAGGGTGATGGTGCTGGGGGACTCCTTCCTGCAGGGCACCAAGGGACCCATCTGCTATTCTGACCCCCTAGCCCCTGACGTCTGCCGCCTCCCTAGGGCATGCATCCGGGATGTTGCAGAGAGGATCCCTAGGCTCGTCCAACCCTCTGACCACTACCCCATGTTCCTCATCCATGTGGGCACGAATGACATGGCCAGGAGTAAACCAGACAGGGTCATGAGTGATTACAGGGCTGTGGGGGGCTGGGCTCAAGGGTTTGGGGGCACAGGTAGTCTTTTCCCCTGTGCTCCCAGTTGCAGGCTGCTGACCTAGGAGGGAAGGATGCGTTGAAGAAGAGAACTGACAACTCTGGTGGTGGTGCTACTGAGAGGGCTTCGGTTTCTTCAACCACAGTGCACACTTCAGGGTGAGAGGAATCCTGGGAAGGGATGGTATCCACCTCACACGGAGGGGTAAGTCTCTGTTCTCTGCCAGGATGGCCAATCTTCTAGATAGGGCTTTAAACTAAGATCGCCAGGGGATGGGGAAACACTGACTGGAGCATGCCCGGGTACCGGCACACAAGAAAGCTCCAAAGTTGGGGACACTAGGAGAGCTACACTTGCAAGAGCTGAGGGAATAGTTTTCCCTCAGTGTGACAGGAAATCAAGGGTCTCAACTGGAGGGAGGACTGAGGCACAGTGAGAGAGACCTAACTGTAGGTGTATACTACAGACCACCAAACCAGGGGGAGGAGTTTGATTTGGAGTTCTCTCGAGAACTGGCAGAGGCCGCACGTACATGGGACATGGTCGTCATGGGTGACTTCAATTACCCAGACATCTCTTGGGAAGAACACTCGGCTAAGTCAGATCCGTCGCATCGCTTCCTGACCTGCATCAAAGAGCTATACCTGATTCAGGAAGTGCACAGGCCAACTAGAGGTAACTCTCTCCTAAACTTGGTCTTGGCCAAAGGAGACAATCTGGTGAGCGACTTGAATATAGAGAGTAGCCTGGGCGACAGAGACCATGAAACCACCACGTTTACTGTCCGTTACAAGGCAGGAAAATCAGCTAGCAGTGTTGAAGTTTTAGACTTCAAAAAAGCAAATTTCAACAGGCTCAGGGACCAGGAACTGAAGGTGAAAGGAGTGAATGAAGAGCAGTCAGTCCTCAAGGACACAATCCTCGAAGCCCAAAAGAAGTCCATTCCCACGTGGAGGAAAGATAGCAGAAGGGCTGGTAAAGCCTCTTGGCTTAATAGGGATATCGTGGTCTTTTTGAAAAAGAAGAAAGAGGCATACAAACACTGGAAGCTCGGGACAGTTCCCAAGTTCTCAAGAGAAAACTGAACTCCTGAATGACTAATTTGCTTCGGTATTTCACTGGACTAAGGGGAAAATCATACTAGATAAGGTTCAGAATGGGCATGGTGGGAATGACTGCCTTTTTACTATTGATGTTGAGCTGGTGCATGATCAGTTAGAAAGTTAGACTTTTATAAGTCAGCAGGACTGGATGAACTTCATCCGAGAGTGCTAAAGGAGCTGGCCAAAGTCATTGTGGGACCTCTGACGAAACTCTTCCAAAACTCATGGCACTCGGGGGGAGGTCCCTGAAGACTGGAAGAGCGACAGTGTTGTGCCCATCTTCAAGAAGGGGAGGAGAAAGGACCCGGGCAACTCTAGGCCAATTAGCCTAAGTTCTATCCCAGGGAAAATCCTGGAAAAATTAATCAAGGAGTCTATGTGTGATAGGTTTGCAGAAGGTAGGATTCTGAACAACAGCCAGCATGGCTTCATTGCGGGCAGGTCTTGTCTTACCAATCTCATCTCCATCTACAACCAGGTAACTCGCCACCTGGATAAGACACAGGAGGTTGCTCTAGGCCAATTAGCCTAAGTTCTATCCCAGGGAAAATCCTGGAAAAATTAATCAAGGAGTCTATGTGTGATAGGTTTGCAGAAGGTAGGATTCTGAACAACAGCCAGCATGGCTTCATTGCGGGCAGGTCTTGTCTTACCAATCTCATCTCCATCTACAACCAGGTAACTCGCCACCTGGATAAGACACAGGAGGTTGCCATTGCATACCTAGACTTCCAAAAGGCCTTTGATTTGGTATCTCATGATGTTCTCACACGAAAATTGGAGGATTGTGGGCTTAAATGCTCAACAGTTAGGTGGCTAGGAAGCTGGCTGCGGGGTAGGACCCAGAGAGGTCTAATGAATGGATCTGTGTCATCCTGGTGAGAAGTGGCCAGTGGTGTCCCTCACGGGTCTGTGCTTGGTTCAGTGCTTTTCAACATCTTTATCAATGATTTGGATGTGGGGATGAAGTGCTCACTGGCCAAGACACCAAGTTATGGGGGAGCTGTGGTCACACTTGAAAATAGGCTGCAGATACAGGGGGACCTAGAAAGGTTGGCAAGTTGGGTGGATCAGAACCAGATGAAGTTCAAAATTGAAAAGTATAAAGTGCTCCATCTGGGGACAAACAATTCCTAACATACTTACAGGCTCGGTGGCGCCAAACTGACTAGCACCATGACTGAAAGGGACTTGGGGTTATAATACACCATAGTATGAACATAAGCCATCAGTGTGATGCTGTAGCCAGCAGGGCAAACAATACTTTGGCATGCATCAATCGATGCATCTCAAGCAAAACCAAGCAAGTGATTCTTTTGCTTTACTAAACATTGGTGAGACTGCAGCTGGAGTACTGCATCCAGTTCAGGGCACCACACTTCAACAAGGATGTGGAAAAGCTTGACAGAATCCAGAGAAGAGCCACCCGTATGACTAGAGACTTGCAAGGCAAGCCATGCGAGGAAAGGCTGAGGGACTGGAGTATCTTCAGCCTAAAAAAGAGAAGGCTGAGAGGGGACTTGGTAGCAGCTTACTGCTATATCAGGGGAATACATCAAGGGCTCAGCGAATAACTGTTCACCAGGGTACCCTTGGGGGAAACCAGGAGTAATGGCCACAAACTCCTGGAAGACCATTTCAGGCTTAACACTAGGAAAAACTTCTTCATAGTTAGAGTGTCAAGACTGTGGAATAAGCTCCCTCCAGAGGTGGTGCAATCACCTACCCTGGAAATCTTCAAGAGGAGATTAGACAGTCACTTCACTGGGGTCACCTGACCCCAGTTGTCTTTCCTGCCTAGTGCAGGGGGACTGGACCAATGATCTTGCAAGGTCCCTTCCAGCCCCTTACAATCTGGGAATCTATACTGGCTTCCCCAGTCAACCTCTCCAATGGTGTCAAACCAGAGCTGGGCAATTTATGATTAATTGCAGTGTGGAGACCAACATGTAGTACATGGACTCTGGCACCTCAGAAGAGGGGTGCAGGACATAAATTCTGTACCACAACACATAAGACCTGCACCTGACAGCAGCCACAGTACACTGGCTCTTTGCAGGTGTCTTGAAAAAATGCTTTGGTGCTCTCTATGTCATTGCTCCCCTCCTTTTTGCCCTACCTGGTAATTCACAGAAAAGCAATGACTGAATAAAGAACTCTTGGCCCTTGTCTACACTGCAGCCAAGGCAGGTGCTACAAGTCCTGGGAAGGGTCAGGCTGCTGGGTCTTTGACCGTAAGGTGGACTTCTGGTCTGTTTACATGAGGTCATGTTCAAATTAGGATTGGAAATAAAAGGGCAGCCTTTTATCCCTGCTGGCATAAACACAGTAAACCCAGGGGAAAAGAGACTTTTCATTCCAGACTACAGTGATTGGATGAAAAATACTGCAAAGATTCAGTGTGACAAGCCAGAAGAGGTTTTTTAGAAAAGATTTGTGAATTTATTCACGATTACGGAGATAACAGCATTGGCCCCTGTGACAGGACTGGCTCTGTCGGCAGTCATGATGCCCCTGGTGGCCTCCTTAATCCTTCACCACTCCAGGTCCTCAGTGTACTTCCTTGGTGTCTTTCCTGCCACAGCTTGACATCAATGTTACATTACCTTGGGAGACTCTCCCCACCCTGAGTCCTGGAGTGATTCTACTGGTACTGCTCTTAGTCAGACTCTTCATACTTATCTCTCTCTGGGGCTTTGACCCCTCAAGCTCAGTCTCTCCCTTTTTTTCCTCGGGCTATCCCTCTGGACATTAGTTCTCTGACAATGGGCCCTATTGGCACTAATCACGGCCTCCACATCCATGTCTCACAGATACTCTGTCTTGTGCACCAGGCCCTCTGGTCCAGTGCCCTGGCCCACCAGGTTCCTGACCCTGCCTGGATCACTCTGTCTTGCACTGGGCCTCAGGCCCTGTAGTGGGTTCAGCCCACTGAGTCCCTAACTGCAGGACCAGTGGCAACGCATAGGGGAGGCATGGGGGTACATGTGCACCTCCTGAGAGTGCTGGTGCACCCCCTGACTGGCTGTGCTCCCCACTTAGGCGATGGGCTGGTGGGGCAGACGCGAGCGACAGTGCCCCTCCATGAGTGCCGGCTGTAGCGCCGCAGCCGTTTTTGGGATCACTGCAGCTGCTTCCCAGTCGGTGAGTTTTGCCGCGGGGCAACCCCCTCCCCCACACTGGTGACATTGGTTGTAGGGGGATCCCACCCCAGTCAATGTCCTGTCGCTGGAGGGGCATGTGCCCCCCCAACTAAGGTGGCACTAGTCATCCATGTGCAGGACAGCTATCTCCCACCTCTAAACTACTTAGCTTTAGCCTCACACAGCCCACTGTGTCCCATACCCTTCCAGGGATGTCTGTGGGCCTTAGCCTGTAATGCAGGCTGCCTCCCAAGACACCCCACTCATGGCCTCCACGGGCTCTGTAGCCACACCCAAATCTTCAGTACTATACCACCTAATACTCAACACACAAAGCCCTCCTGGATCTCTCTGGATTTCATCAAACTCATACCCTCTATCCTCTGTCTCCTTGCAGCTTCCTGGAATAGTTGTGATGCCTAAGTTCCCCTCCAGCAGCTGAAGCTGCCAGAAGCTTTAAATCAGTAGCTACCAGGACCAGACTAATAAGCCCTTTGACTCAGGAGACAGGCTTCTAGCAAGCCAGAGCACCACCCCTTCTGGTCACACGGCCTCCATCTTGCCCAGGGGTTTCTCATCAGCCCAGCACTTGGCCTGCATTGGTCTACTGCAGTCTGTTCTCAGCTGCTGAAGCTTATGCTGCTGAACTGCAGGCATTCCCTCTCAGTTGCCTGGAGCCCTTTCTGCCTATGGGCCTGTGGCCAGCTCTCAGGCATTCTCCTGCTGCCCTACAGCTCCCATTTTGGTTTCTTCTGGTTGCCAGTTATCCAGCAGGTACTTCTACACATGACCTCCATGCTTGACATTCTCTGTTCAGAGAATGTCAACCATCTTAATGCTATGATCTCAGTGCATAACAAGAGAAGAATGT